GCCAAAATTAATACAAGATCAATATCAGGATTACGAGCAGCAACAGCTAGTGCAATACATGCGCCAAATGACTCTCCAATGAGATATATGGGTCTTTTCGGTGCATTACAATACTCTGACCTAACAGTTTCTTCAACCAGCTTCACCAAATCTGAGCATGTGGTTGGGAATGAACAAGGTTAATCTCATACCACATTCAATCCCTGGCCCTATCATTTCAAGAAACAAATACAAATTGCCAAGCAGTGCCAAAACCATCAACATAAGAAATTGCATACCATATAGAAAGGTAAACAATATCCTCAAGGCTCCCAAATTTTCGTTCTGAGGGTTGTGTGAAATTTAATTTAGCTACATGATTACCTCATTAGAAAGTTCACCAACAATAAAATGCAAAACAGCCAGAAAGCACGGCATTTATGTACAAAAATAAATTTTCATAAATTATTGCCGACATAGATATATGCAAGAGGCCAGAGGTAGAGTAAAGGGGACAGACCTGTGAATGAGGTTCGATCTGTAAGTGGAATATGCAAGCACCAAACATCAAAAATCCTTCATGTCAAGAGATATCAAAAAAAATAAAATATGTTAACAAGGCATGTCAGAGTCCAAAGGCAATTTTTTTTTTTAAATTAAAATTTTTGTAGTATTTATAGTGAAATTGTTCAAAATTTAGTAACTGGGGATGCCCGATGCAAAGTAATAAAAAAACACATTACTCTCCATTCTTTAAAAAAAACAAAAAACAAAAACAAAACAAAACAAAACAAAACAAAACAAAAAACAAAAACAAAAACAAAAACAAAAAGCAACAACACAAACAAAAACTTACTCTCCCAGTTTTTTGTGGTGTGGTAAAAGTCCAAGTCCAACACCATCAATGCCTGAAATATTACCAATATTGATTTCAAAAAAGTATACAATCAAATTTAACTTTCCATATGGGGACCACTTGGTGAAAGATAGTGATCAAAGTCCTCATTGAAAATGTGTATCATCAAAAGCCAGCACTAATAATGTAACCAGCTATATGGTCTTTTTCCAAAAATATACATTTTTGTTTAGCATAATGGTTATTGTCTACCTTAGAAACAAGAAAAACCGCCCTTTTACAACCTCAAAGCAATAATATATGGAACAAGAAAAAAATCCCAGACTTTATGACCTCTTTTTCCCGTTAATTGCTATTTTATATATACATATACATAGTTAGGGGGAGGAGACACACGTGATTCATCTTACCATTCATCATGGGATAAATTGGGTAATAACTCCACCTAAAAAGAAAGAAGACAAAGTTGTCATCCTGTCATTGGACACTTTTTTTCTAGGCTCAATGAATAATGTTATTCACATCCAACTGGAGTTGAAAACTTGAAATACTAAATTAACAAATGATTTCAAGGAAGATGTTGGCAGAATTCTATGAGTGATGATGACATTTCTTTATCATTACAATAAGCCGTAAAAACCAATCATCTATCCAGCGATATTAACTAATTTCATTCATTAATGGACTTAATATATTCTGGGCGGTTCAAGAAATTACACTCCTTAGTAACAATAAATTAAAGGGTTTGAAGAGGGGGAGAATTAATGCAGTAACCTGGTAAAAAGAGCAAGAGCGGAGACTGCTGTGACCGCGAGGCGCACTCCAATGGAGAAAACCAGCGCGGCGGCCCGCCGTCTGATCTGAGCATCTGTTTCGACTGTTGGAAGTAATCCTTCAGGCTCAAACCTCCCCCGTCGTCTGAGACCGGGTCAGATTCCCAGCCATACTTTCTTCTAGAATTAGGAGACGTATTTGTATAAGTTTGTGTTGCCGCGTTGCTGGCGGAGCTGCCGTTAGTCTGAAGGGATGGTTGGTGAGGATAGTTATCTTCTTGCGGATCAGCGGAGACACCTGAATTCCTGATGGTTACACTTGCGAAAGCAGCCGGATCTTTTGACCCCGGGAAAGAAAACAATCTTGTGGTCCGGAATGGAAATGGAGACGGCGACGACAACATGCAACCGGAAACGGAAAGGGCAGTCCCTACAGCCATGCCTCTTCCTCGATCTGTCACTCTGTTTCAAGTTTCAAGTTTCAACTCACCGCCAAAGATGGATGATTATATTTATTTAGAGTTAAACTAGTAATTGTGGGGATAAATATTGTTAAAATTTATTGTCCAAATATGTTAAATAATTAAGATTGAACTTGCGCGATGCAGGAATAATACTTATACACTAATAACTTTACTATTTTTTTTATATTAAAGTTGTTTTTCGTAAAAGTGAACAATTGTAAAAATTTACATGTTGTTGTGATTTATTGTATTCGTTGGCTATTAGCTCCTAACCAATGAACTTTGCAGACAATAAAATTATCATGAAATTGATAATACAGAGAAGAGAGAAAAATAGAAGCAAGGGAAATCATCATATCTATCTTATTCAATCCATCCTTACATCTTTATAATACAATGCAATAATAAAGGAAGGAAGAAATGGGATGACTGTTACAAAACTATCACCATAAATGATCATGTCCATATTAAAACATTTGTAACACTCCCCCTTGGACATTATATAACCATAATCTTGCCTCATTAAAAACTTGCTAGGAAAACCCTGTGGAAAAAAACCTAAACAAGAAAAGAGTAGAAGTATACCGATAGTACATTTGAATACATTCCTGCCTCGTTAAAAACTTCACTAGGAAAACCACGTGGGAAAAACCTAGTTGAAGAAAAGAGTACATGATATTTGTAAACTCATATATTGTACTGATTGCCTCGTTAAAAACCTTAACTTAAGAAAACATAGTGGGAAAAATTTAGTTAAGGGAAAAAAAGTACAATCATAAGCCTTCAAGGCATAATCTTCAGGATTTTGGGGTTTGTCTATTTAGTTATTTATATACAACTCACCATTAAAATATCATACTCATACCTCGTTAAAAATCACACTAGAAAAATCTATTGGGAAAACCTAGTGAGGAAAAGAGTACATGATATGTATATGATGCAGAAAGTATAACTATTAGTCTTTTTAAGACACAATCTACATGATTGACTTGAGTGAATATATATGCTGCAAAAAGTGCAACTATTAGTCTTTTTTAAGACCCAATCTACAGGATTAACTCGAGTGAATGTACTTCTCGTCTCCCCCTGAAGATAACAATCTTCAAATTCTATATTGTTTAAAGTAAAATCATCGTTTCAAAAGGGTGTAGAGAAGGGATATGGTACAATCTTCAGGATTGTCATTAGAATTTATCAAAGGATATGGTACAATCTTCAGGATTGTAATTAGAATTTATCATATTTTCTCATGATCATCTGGACCAATAAAATTATTTATATTTTGTCGCTCCCCCTAAATAATTTTCTTTAACCTTGCATATCAATCTCATAGATATTTTGTAGGTATACACTTGCTAACTTGTCATTGGAGCAAATCTTCTAAACAAATATTTTATCACTCTTCTGGAGTTCATGTGGATCAATGTGTTTTATATCATGAAAAACTATATACGTTTTTATTTGTCCCAAGTATGATGACTTCATGTCAAAAGCATCAATATGAATATTTGTACCTTGATTTCCTATTCTTTATTTCATCTCATAACTTAACCGTCGCTATGACAAAGCGAGAAAGAAATAACGAGATGATAATATACAAAATACATCTATAAGAACAAGTATTATCCCTTAGGCTTTAAGATGCTTAAAGTTTAAATTGATTTATAATATATCAATCCAAGTCATGGCGTTTAACATAATGTCAATATTCAAATGACTTCTCGAAAGATGTATTTTATACCTTAAGGATATTAATGGATATTATTTAACATCATTTCCTTTTCTTTCTAGGAGAATCACCAAATCACTCTTTACAAATTACAAAAAGAAAATGCGAATTTGGGAATTTTCAGTCTCAAAGAAAAGGTATTCAAAATGACGTTTTGAAGCGGCGGACTTCTGGTCCTAAATCTTCCTTTTAGGTTAAAATGGTCCTTATCTACTTTGGGAGATTATTTGGACATAGACTAAATAGTATGTGAAATTCCTTTTAAGGAAATGCTCGATCTACAGGTCGATATAATACTTGATTTTCATATCTTTTATTTTACAATAAACCCCTTAATAAGTACCCTATGGTACATATTCGTTTATAATTTCCTATTTTAAGAGGAAATTATTTAATCAATTGCTTTGCTATTTTAAGTTAAGTAAAGCATTTGTACTTCAACAACAAACATGTTGTGATATTTACTTTCTTTCATTTTGAGAATTATAAATTCATCAAGGATTTTTGAGATTGACATTAGTGTCTAATGACCCATAATTTCTAGGTCATGACTTTAATAAGCTGCATATCTAACTTTATTATTCTGCCAATTATGTAGCGGAACCTTTAATGATATTCATCATGGGAGAGTATACTTGATTCTGGGTTTCTGCATGAACCCTTAGGCTACAGACTCGCTTTATATCTCACCACCTTATTATTCTTAATTTTTCTTCATACAAACTCCATTTGTAAACTTCATACGAACCGTCGGGTTAGCGGCGCATGGAAAGGTATTACTAACGAAGTTAATTTTTCGTCACAAAATATTACGATTACTGACGTTTTTGCATGATTTTGAAAATGCCATTGAATACATAATTTTTGCAACGGAATATTAAAAAAACGTCAGTAATAGTTTGTGACGAAGTAAAATATTTCGTCAGCAAATGTGTCTTTGCTGACGTTTTCTATACAATTATACTTGTCATTAATAAATTTAATTGGTGGCGAAAAATGAAATGTGTCAATAAAATAACATTTGTTGACGATTATGTACATTATTATGTTGCCAGTAAAAAGACATTTATTAACGTTTTTTCCATATTCATTTTTCATCGCAAAAGTTTATATTTGGAGATATTTACAATTTTGTGACCCTTTATTGATGATAGTTTAATATGCTTGTATATAGAATGATTTACACAACAGTTTCATGAAATTGAAAATAAAATATTTTAGCATCAATTAAATGTTCAAAATAGAAGAATATTTTTCATAGTATAATATTGAATTACAAGGATGTAATGTGATACAAATGATTAATATTAAATAAGGTCAAACTAGACACGAGAATATATACAATTCTATGCACATAAAGATTGGTAACAATTATCATCTTCATCAAAACTATTGAGGTCAACACTTTGGAAGTCCTTTGTCTTGGGGAGAAGGTCCGATTTGATGAGTACATCTAGATATGCAATAATTCCCTGCCACTAAAAAACGTAAATGTTTTTCCATCATGAATAATAAATTATTCAAAACTATATATTTAACTCAATCAGATAGTTAATTTATCTCACTTTTATACTTTCTTGTGATTATATTTAATTTCTAACATAAATTTTCTTTAATAATATTTCATTTAGTTGCTTATAGCATGTAATCAATTTTTCATTCTATCATTATATCATTATACTCCACAAAACCAAAATTTATATAACAAAGAAATAATAAATAAAATTCTAAACTTTGGTTATACCTTCAAATGTTGGTATGCCCCTCGAGTTCCTGTCTCATTGAAATTGGATAGTCATGCCATTTCATCCACTGAAGCCTCTTGAACCTGTCAACAAAAAGATCTTCAACTACTTCAATTCCTTGACATAGAAATAGATAATAATAAAAACAAAAATTCGCTTTGTAAAACGCTATATGATCCTGTTAGAAGCTTCTAATGTGCAATTTGGCTTTCCAATGCCATGTGAACACGCCTTGCTCGGACTAGTGCTTGAAGTCTCTCACTAATCCTTTTAAAGCTCGTAGAGCTCTCCTAGCCTAACAATTAGCATTTTTAACATTTTAAACAATATTCAAGTGTCAAAACAAGAGAAACAATACAAGATTCAAAGTAACAACACCCTTCTTCACTAACCAAATGAAAACATGGGGTAAAATGGAAAACCCTACTGCAAAGGAGGACTATTACTCCTGAAAGGGAAATTTAACCTCCCATCCCAGATTTGCCATGTATGTCAAACCCATGCCCCCTAATAGTACCCTCCATGTTCTTTTAGTTACTATGAGTTCACTCTTCATACCTATCCTCAAGTCACCAGAGCTCAATCAAGAGCAAAAGCATAGATGCAAATATAAACTAAATGGATGGTTAGTACCAAATGCTGTGAAACTTGAGCTAGAGTTTGAAAATCCAAGCCATAAACCCAAATTCAGTTGTGTCTGCTACATGGATCGTATATCTCCATAAATGCGTATTAATGCTAAAGCCATTGTTACTTGTTAGCCCTGGAACTATCATATCTTTATCCAAATTCATAAGAAAAGAAATACTAAATATATTTATTTTTAGTTTCAAAAATATATTTATAGAGAATTAGATCCATAAGACATAATTAAAAGGAAGAAAAATGAGACCATATGATTACATTAAAGACTCTTTGCAGGTTATTCAGATAAAATGAGGCAAAATCCAGGCAGCAAAAGCTAAAAGAAGATTTCAACTAAACAGAGAACAATATATGTACCAACTGACATAAGTTATGCATTAAGAGCAAATTCATTACCAGAAATCCTTTAAAAGCTGTTTGAATGCATATGACTGCCCATTCTTCTCTCATACTCTTTTGAATTTGAGCTGCATCCTCCAATTGGTGTGAGCATGAAGGTGAACCAACAGCAACCGGAGCTGAAGATACTTTGAAATCTTCAACTGATGTAGAAGCATTATCATTACGACTGAACTCAACTCTGAATTAGATCACTATCAATCTCAGTTGCAAGTGATTTCTCAGGTCCTTCCAAACCAATCAGTGACATAATCCACTTCCCTGAAACTCCATTGGCAAAGTTGCTTCAGCTCTACCAACCTCAAACCTGAAGCAGAAAATCTTAAGAAATTTAGTAATTCACCAAGTTGATATATACTTATTAAGAAGAACAAACAGATAACAACAAAAAGATAATCAGCAATTCTTTAAAACAGTTGACACCTGTTGTTTAAAAAATGGAAATTCAAGTGTAGAAAAAGTTGCCAAGACATCCATCAAGCTTTAGCTCACGACATCTTGAGATATATGTAGATGGTGATATAGAAATAATGAGGATCAGTTTCATCCCATTGTCACTTGTTCGCCATTATTTCAACTTAGATCATTCCAATGTTTAACAGACCTCCATTTGAAACGGAAAAAAAAATGAGGGGATATCAGCGCATTACCTTAGGTACACAAATTCCTTCTTGTCTGACTTCAATAACATTACCATGAGAATCAATTCTTTTCATGAATATATCATGTCTCTATTAGTCATCATGGAGAGAACTATGAGCATAAGAGCAATGGCAGACAAGAAAATAGTGCAAAAGATTTTTTTTTTTTAAAGAACGTTTTACACCACATACTATGTCAAGATGTTGCTCCCACTAATATCCATGGCATCTACACTAAGTAATGAACACCGGATGGCTGGAAAGGTGACATCAAACTGCATGAACAAGTAGAAATAGTAATGTAAACCTTCAAAGATAAGTATAGATCAGGAACCAAACTTATTGTTGCGAGTGCAAGTAAAAACCATGATTGGAGGCCGATGTTAGGCAAAAACATCACAATTTACACACCATCAATTTCATAGAAATAATAGAAGTATTTAACTTTACACCCAATAGTGTCTCACAGATACAAGGTTTAACCAGAGGAACAACAGAAAGCATATGGTGAAAGCATTTCAATATCAATACTGAATAAAGTAAGGAACTTTACATTGATATGCAATTTTTCTCCTCTTGAAGTGTCTACATAAGCCTAGTCTCAGTAACATTATGGAGATACAGTCCTGCGATTCAATTCAACAACCTCTCAATCAAAAACCAGTAACAGTATGGAGATCTTTCTAACTTGAATATTGTCTCTATAAGAACAGAACCAACAAATCCCGCACCTCAAAACCAGCTCTGCAAGTCTTACTCTCTTCTCAACCACCTTTAGGTTGATGCTATAGTAGTCTGAAAACTTAAATAAAATATAAAATATTAATAATATATTTGTACGCACCTTTCACTTGCGATGGAGACCGGAGATTTCAGCAGCAGCGACCGATGGCGACCTTTTGTGAAGAGTGACCGGCGACCTTGTGCGAAGAGTGGCGGCAACGGAGCATGATCGGCAACCTTGCCCTGCTGTGCGAAGACCGGCAGCGACGGAGGGTGACTGGCGACCTTCCTCTGCTCCAATGGAGAACGGGGAGACAACAAACAGACGAAGGAGGGCGTGACAGCGACGACTAGCGAAGATAAAAGCAATTGGTTGGAGACGATGGAAAAGCCCTAATTTTGCTTTGGAGACTATTGCGTAACAGAGACTACCAAGCGGGGAAATTTTGCAGTGCAGAGAGAGGTGAAGCGTGTGTACTGCTGCTATGGTGTGAAGTTGAAGATTGTAAGAAGATTTTACACAGATTTTAATTTTAATTTTTGATAGAGCTTTTTTTCAATAGCGCCAAATGATAAAAAAATTTCCGCAAAATATTTTTACTTTTCCTGAGGTTTTATGTTAAATTAATTTTTTAAATAAAACATTTAAGGACGCTTATTATAAAACGTCATTGATTCTATATTTTTACTGACAAAAAAAAGTATATTTCGTCAGTAAATATTTTAAAAAAATTTACCGCCTTTACCAAAATATATAGTGACGTTATTTAAAATAACATCGTAAATTGTTATATTTAGCGACGTTTTTTAGAGCGTCGTTAAAAATTTTCGTCGGGAAATGTAAGATTTCTTGTAGTGCCTGCACTTCTGGCGTCAAGGGATATCGATAGATATCTATGGTCCAATTTTGGGGAATGTGTATGGGACCAAGTCACTCTTTTTTATGAAATAAATTCATTTGGCATATATGTTTGATTTCTTTCAGAACTTCCTGTTCAGTTTAATTGGTACGTGGATTTAATTTTTGAAGATCATTTCATGAAATTTCTCAGCATTCCATTTCAATTTTGATCATATCTCCTCCTAAGGCCGTGAACCGATCTTCATGTAGTCAGCGTATCCATCACGTCTCTCTTAGTGGATTTAAATATTGGAGACAACAGATGGAGGTTTAGATGGATACACTATGATGGTTATGTAATAGAATGGACTGCATTCATAAGAATAGAAACGCGGATTTGGAAAATGTTTGTTCGAAAACCACGTATTAGATGGAAGGGGGAATAAGGATATGCAGTGTGCCGAAAATTTTTAGCATAAATATTGCATTTCCCCACCAAGTATCCGGCACATTGAAATTTTGAAAAAAAAATGGTTTAGCAAGTACTTTAAATTTAGAGATTCAGCTAAACCCTTTTAGGTGTGGTCATAAGGCATATGATGCTTTATCGTAATGCCTAATGCCATATAACATTATCCATCTTTATATGCTTAAGAGGATAAACAGGGAATTTAATTAAAAGACGTTTGCTAAAAAATTTGGCAATTGTTTTGTTCGTAATTGACAACAGCCACACATGTGTCTACTGGGTGGAAGTTTTTCTTTGCTTCAGGCAAGGAAACTTTGTTGGATTCAACATGGTGCTATTTGTTCAAGTTTCAGCAAAATGCTTCAGGGTGTGACACGCACGTGAGCAGTGCCTTTTACACTCATACGTGAAGCTTAACTTGCTGCTGGGCCAAAGTTATGACTTTGTTGTTGTTCTTGACGAGTTGGATCATTTGTATTTTTATTCTGGTTTCGAGAGTTATTGTTCTTGCCACCTTGGCCTTACCTCTTTCCCGTCTTCTTCCTCAGTCCCTCTTGGTGTTGCACAATTAGGTGACATCGTGTGCTTCGGGCACCAGTGTAGAGCCAACTTGGAATGCATTATAGATTTGCGTCAACATGTGGTTGTGCTTCTACAGTTATGGGAGGAGGGTGGTGTGCAAAAAAAGACAAGGTCTCCCCCCAATCAAAATCGTGCCAGAAACATTCTACTTACGCAACTTTAGTTGGGACACAATTTTGCGTATAGTTGAGTTAGAATCCGGCATTGATTTAAAGTTTTGAAAGATCAAAGGTCAGGCAATCTAATTATGATTTTAGAAAGGACCAATGAATGTGCTAGACAAATTTATCCTTCGGGAATTTCTATAAGGAATAAGGGTCCTTTGTAGGAAGGTATTCATATGGCGTAAGAAAATAAAGCGTTGGCTTTCTGGGCTGCGTCGTTCATGGATTTCTCAACGATCGTATCTTCAAAGTGACGTAGGATCAAGATACATTTGAATATCAAGAGCCCATGTGAAATAATCACTCCCGTCCAGAACAAGTGTGGTAAGATCACGCGTGGTAGTAGTAGCCAGGATATGTAACTTTCAAAAAGAATCTATGCATACTATTTCTGGCCTATTAGCTCAGTTGATTAGAGTGTCGTGCTGATAACGTGTTGTGATTTATTGTGCCCGTTGGTCATTAGCTACTAACCGATGAACTTTGCAGACAATAGAATGATCATGAAATTGATAATACAGAGAAAAGAGAAAAATAGAGGCAAGGGAAATCATCAGATCTATCTTATTCAATCCATCCTTACATCTTTATAATACAATGCAATAATAAAGGAAGGAAGTAATGGGATGACTGTTACAAAACTATCACCATAAATGGTCATAATAATGTCCATATTAAAACATAACACATGTAATAATAAGATAATATGTATTACTAAAAGGGTAGAGTACTAGTATTCGAAAAAATTGAATATGTAAATCAACTATGTGTAAACATGTATGATATTTTCCAACATATTAACAACTATGAATAAAGAGCAACTATAGACTTAAATATCTATACACCAACATATATCAATCATTATTGCATGTACCATGGTCCACACAATTGTGTGGACCGTAAATAAAAAGTACATTTTGAATATACGAAGGGTACATTATTTATGTACATAAGGTACATTTTTAATATATTAAGAGTATATTATTGTATATAATGTACCTTCAGTACAAAAATAATGTACTTTTAATATATTAAAAATGTACCTGATATTTATGGTCCACACAATAATTTGCCAACATCTATGTATAAGGCTTATTAAAAAAACAAAAAAATAAAAAAATAAAAAAAGGGTCAACTACCAGCCCAACAATAATCTGTTTTTTTAATTCTAACTTAGCTCATTATCCATACCCGTTTCAGACCATAATATCATAGCTGCAAGCCTGCAAACCATCCCCTAGTCTATTTTTGTTGTTCGGATCGGGAAACTACAAACCATTCACCATTGTATGATCTCTCTCGCTCGTTTAGTAGCTATGTCCGCCATTCAGACCACCAAATTACGCCTAAAATCCATCCCCTTTTCTGTTCTGTCAATCTAATAGGCTTGAAACACCAGATTCTTGAGCCTTTTTTTGCAACATCGCTCGTAGTCTTAGCTAGGTTTTCCGATCGCACTTTACACAAATTCATAAAATCTGCTCGTTGAAGCTGTTATTGAGCTATTCAACCAAAACGATTCACAATCTAAAATCAGAGGAAGCTGTTCTTGAGCCATCTGTTATGCATGACCTAGATAAGTATTTTGTTTTCATTTTTTCGTAAATTTATTTGCCCCACTGGATTTCGAATAAGTTCATAGAATGAATTGCTATGGGTTCAGATATTGTTATGCATTAGCATTCATTTTTTCATACTATGGGTTTTTCGCATCTCAGATTCACTGGTCTTTTGAAAATAAAGAAGCTCATTCATTTAATTATAAGCTGGAGCGATTACAAATAGGATCGATATAACGGTATACCATTCCTTACCTGCATATTCGAATACTAACTGTTAGTCAACACACTCAAAGAGTGGATAGTGATCTTTGAAATACACCATACATGAGTAACGGACTTGATCCACAATTTTTGGGTATAGAAGAATAATTTTCTAAAAAATATCAAAAAATGTACTATAATAATCTCAATGATGTGTTTTATCTTAACTTAAAAAATGCTTTGATTTACCTTGATTGTTTAATATGTAAATAAATAATATTAAAATTAAAGAGAACTATTAATAATTATTTTATTCATAATATTACACCTATTATAATTATTTTATTTTATAATATAATATGTAATTACAATTATGATTATACTATAACTATAATAATTCAATTTTCACTATTAGGACTCTATGTATCTGAGTCTGTTTAGAACTTCTTATCCTTGTCACACTGTGACTCTCTACTTCTTATCCTTATCACACTGTGACTCTCTATTGTATATATTCACATCATCTGATCTCATTGTAATAAAGTTCAGAAAATATAATACAATCAGTTCTCATCTGGTATCAGTTAGCTAGGGTTTTGTGATTCATAAAATTAAGAAGATGCAGCGCTGCGGTGGCAACCTTAATTACCATGGAGGTCAGCAACGTGGCTTCGATGATCCGTGTCAAATCTGTAAAGGTTTCGGCCACACAGGAGTCAATTGTTTTTTACGCTATGATGATCCGTGTCAAATTTGTAAACGTTTTGGTCACACGGGAGTCAATTGTTTTTTGCGCTATGATGATCCATGTCAAATTTGTAAACGTTTTGGTCACACGGGAGCCAATTGTTTTTGGCGTTATAATGATCCGTGTCAAATTTGTAAAAGTTTCGGTCACACGGGAGTCAACTGTTTTCGGCGATATTCAGGGGCTCCGGGTTCTCAGGCTAATTTGGTGTTTCAGAATGGTTTAGTTGCTAAAACCTCGTCAAATTCTCATACTTGGGTTCCGGATACTGGAGCCACAAATCATGCAACTCCAAACATCGCTGCCCTTTTTACATCAAAGAAGTACACTGGTAATGACACTTTACGTGTCGGTGACGGTATGGTTTTATCTATTAGTCATGTTGGCCATGCCTCTTTTAATACCCCTTCTAGATCATTTACATTGTCTGATATACTTCACGTTCCACGTTTGTCTAATTCTTTATTATCTTTTCAGAAGTTTGCATCCGATAATAAAGTCTTTTTTGAGTTTCACCCCTCCTTTTTTGTTGTGAAGGATATCAATACCAAGGAAATACTTCTTCGGGGCAATAGTTCGGGGGAACTATACACACTTTCATTACCTAGTTCGTCTCCATCAGCGTTTCTTTCCGCTCGTGCATCGGCTTCCACTTGGCACAATTGTCTGGGTCATCCTCATAACCGTGTCTTAGCCATATACTTCGTTCTTGTTTGGTTAGTGGGTCTCGTGATAATATTCGTTGTCATAATTCTTTATGCAATGCGTGTCAATTAGGCAAATCTGCCCGTTTTCCCCTCCTTCGTGTTGCTTCCTCTAGTTCTCAAGTCCTAGATCTTATTTACACAGACATTTGGGGTCCTGCGCCCACTTTATCTACTTCTGGCTTCCGTTATTTTGTGATCTTTGTGG